AAAGTTTAAATTAATAAAGTTTAACAAAGTAGTTGTTCATAATTTACTTTTATTTTGTTAGTAAACTTTAAAAATTTACATTTCAATAATATTATAACAAAACAACATTAATTAAATTTAATTTAAAATTTAAAGAAAATATACATTTTTTATTTTCAAATAAAATAGTTCATAAAATTAAATATGAACTTTAAAACTTATTGAAGTAGTAAAAAAGAAAAAACATTTAGAAAAACTAATAGAATCTATCTACTTATTGTTTTTTGGGACGGCCGCGGCCAACACTTTTCTTTTTAGCACTTTCAATATCCAAACCTGAACTTTTTGCCGCTTGCTTAAGTTGCTTATCAACTTTTGCTTTTTTGGTTTGTTCTGCTAATATTTTTCTTGTTACAGCAGCAGCTTTGGAAGCTGCTTTCTTTGCTTTTTTCTCACTGAGGGCTTGCTGCTCTGCGCGCAATGGTGCCATTTCTTGTGAATCGGTTAAAATCGCAGATTTACGTTTGCGGCCACGTTTTGTCTGTTTGCGCGGTGAAGCCTTTATGTACGGATGAATTTCTTTTAGAGTTTTATCCAAATCAACTGTTTCATTGACATCGTAAACAGCTGACATCCATTCTTGCTCCGTGTCAGAATCCGCAGAAGTGGATGCCCGATTAACAGTGTTTTCGCGATCAGTTATATCCGATGGTAAGAAATCGATGTCCGTGAACACATTTTCGTTCAATGGCCAAATTCCAGACACGGCGAAGCCACTTTTAATGTTGGAAACAGACGCACCCGATTCGATAGGTTTCGCAGCAATCCGTGGGATGTCATAGATCGTGATAGTCTTTCCAGCATTTTGCGGCAATCGCATCCAAGTGTCGCACGCGGCATGAAAGTAGTGCTTAATGGGACCAAACACGGATCTGTCAAGTGGCTGCAGTTTATTCGTAGTGTGTGGTGGAAAAGAAAGGACGACAATTCCATTTTCTTTACAAAAATCTAAATTGGAAATCGACAGATGCGATTCGTGATTGTCCAATAATAGTAAAACTGGTACTTTTTCGTCGGATGTGCGTACTTGACAAAGTGATTCAAGAATTTAAAAAATTGTTCGCTTTTCATCCAACCGGATGGATTTGCCGCACCATCTGCGTCTAAGCCTGACAAAAAATGTTCTTGAAATTTCGCCCGTGGAAAAACGTAAAAAGGTGGTGCTACCATGCCACGTGCTGAACATGCGAGAGTGAGCGTCACTAGAGTTCCTCTTTCGCCTGATGAAATGCCACCTACACTTCTTGCACCACGTGGAGCTACGACAGGAACAGGTTTTTGTACTGTGGTTAGCGCTGACTCGTCAACATTCCAAATGTTTTGCGGTTGTATTTTAAATCGCTGAATGACGTCTTTCAATTTTTCGAAAAATTCCTTGACATTATGACGATTAAATGCAGTCGCCCTGCCGAGACTAGTTGCCATTGGTTTCCGCAGTGAAAGATCTGGATCACGAAGCATAAATCCATTAAGCCAATCCGTGGTAGCGCACTTTGATTTTTTCCATGATTTCGGAACAGATTTAATCAATTTTTTCTTTGTTAAAGTTACTGAAAACTCGTAAGCAAGTTTACGAACCGCAGGATAAGACAAACCGTGATACATTGCCACTGAGCGCAATAAATATCTTTTCAGCGATGCTTCTTGTTCTGCATTGAAAATCTAGAAATAAAAGCAAAAATATCTAAGTAATAAGAAAAAACACTCGAGAAAACAAAAGAAGGCATCATTAGTTTACATGTTTATATGCATGAGGGTTTTCAGGAGTTTTACTCTTTAATCGACAGCGTAAAGCTCCTCGTGAAACGCCAAATTTCATAGCTGCGCTGTTAATACTATTGCCTTTTTTCACGGCATCGAGTGCCGCCGACATTCCCGTTTCATTTAATTTTTCAGTTTTTCGAACATAAGTGCGCACCATAATACTGAAACACAAAAGAACAAAAAATTTATTGTTGGCTGCCTCGCCCCATGTTTTCGTTGGCCGTCTAACCCCACGAGTACTTTTTTTAAAAAACATTCACAGGACCAGTAATATTAAAAATATAGCGATTCCATTTACAGCATCGTCTTCAGCACTAAATTCTGCATTAAAAAACACTTACCTGAATTTTATTCATACACCTCAATTAACGAAAATCAGACAAATAACTCTTTAAAAAAATACATCCAAAAGTCTGTTTTTGTAAATGATGCTGTCACTTCTAAGCTGGTACAGTAATAACGCCCATCTGTTAGCAACTGAATTGAACTACTATAAGCACTCTACATTATCGACGGCGCGCGATTTCAAAAAGCGACGCAGAAATAAGAAGCAATTGGCTGTCTCACCCCGTTGGCTGCCTCGCCCCGTTCTACTCTACTCTGTAAATTGTAAAAAATTTGTGCAAGTAAATATTCGAATGTTACAAACAATTTATATTAACAAAAAATTAAGTTTACAACAAATTGTTAATGTAGACAAACGCTTTGATAGATTTTGATAAAATTGTATACTTAAGGCTTTTTGGGGTCGCTGATTACGAATCCAATGTTGATTTTTCAAAATTCAAAATGGCGGATCCAATATTGCGGATGCTTTTTTTGAAAATCGATTCAATTTGGCTATAAATCGTTACTCGGGGGTCTTTGGGGTCGCTGATTACAAATCCGATGTTGGTTTTTTAATATTCAAAATGGCGGATCCAATATGGTGGATGCTTTTTTTAAATCGATTCAATTTGGTTACAAAATTTACTAAAGACTTTTATAGTATTGTTTTAACAATTTTATTCATATATACTTATTTTGATACTGAATAATTCAAAAAAGTAATAATTTTTTACAAATTCTGATTAATTTGTACACTTTAAAGTATGTGTAAATCCATCAATATATAGGGGAGAGTGGTCCTAAGTTGGCCGCCTAAGCAAATTGGTCGAAAATAGTAACAAAATAAAATTTAATCACTTCGGCAAGTATATATTAGTGTTCAGAGATCGTTTTGCTATAATTTTGTGGTATTTAGAACGTTATAGAATAGCTTTTGTAGTCTTAATACAATAATTAGTGAAAAGCTGCATTTTGGACATTTCAGAAATAGCGGTCCTAAGTTGGCCTCCACTTTTTTTGCTTGAGTATAAGGAAGAAATGAATATTCGTTCCAATTACGCAGAAATTACACAAATTTTATACATTTAAGAGAATAAAAACGCATTATTTAACTATTTTTGTTTAGAAAATAAATCAATATTTTTTTCATTTATTTGCAGTGGTGGATGGATTCAGAGACAGGCGTTTTTGTACTATGTTTTTTCTAATGTTTTTTAAACCATTTTTTTTGTTTTTTGTCTTTGTTTAATTCCTGCGTTACACTTTTACGGTCTTTCTCGTGATAAAAAACACAAAAAAGAAATAAAACATAAATGAAAACAAACAAAAATAATAATAGGTGGCCAACTTAGGACCACTGTCGATTTTTACAAGTTTCAAATTATTACGCTAATAAAACAAATTTAATTAAAAAATTAACAGAACCTCTTATTACAACATTAAATAAAGGAACTAGCGCACACACTTATTTAGAAATTTTAATTATTTATCTCTTGTAGCTGCTCTCGAAAAAACAAGAAAAATTAATTTTTTTTGGTCGTAAACAATATTATTGTCCTCACAATGCGTAGAAGAATCTTAGATTATAATTAGGTCCATAAATTATATCATGGTTTATCAATATATCAAGCTGGAGTCCCATGACAGCGTTTTGCGTTGCCTTTTGTAACTAGGCCAAGAGTGTGAGAAAGATACAGATATATGTTTGCTCTATTTGCACTCATGGCCTAGTTACAAAATGCAACGCAAAACGCTGTCATGGGACTTCACCCTCATACCACAAAATTATAGATTCGTTCAGTATACCATCGCTGAGAAATGCAGGGTGGCCAACTTAGGCCCACGGCCAACTTAGGAACACTCTCCCCTAATAAATTTTTTAGCAAATTTAAAAAATATTATTGCTTTAAACAATTTTTTAACATCATCGTATAATTTAAATTTTTAAAAATAATTCTGCATAGTGTAAGGATTTTTAGCACAGATTGGTAGTCTTATAGTGATTACAATTTCGCGGTAAAAGTATGAGCTTTTCACCTTTGCCGCGAGATGGCTTGAAGCTTTTTCACCTATAAGTGAGAACGATTCGTTTTTCATTATAAGAGCTTATTACATTTGTGAAATAATAATGTAAAAGATTTTGATATACTAAAAATATTAATTATACTTAAAAAACCCAAAAACTTCTCCGAGTAACAAGTTTCAAGTATATCTAATCAATTTTTCAGAAAAGCGCCTAACACATTATATCGTTCATTAAAAATGTTGAAAAACTAATTACAGATTCGTAATCAGCGACCCCAAAGACCCCCGAGTAACGATTTATAGCCAAATTAAATCGATTTTCAAAAACAGCATCCGCCATATTGGATCCGCCATTTTGAATTTTGAAAAATCAACATTGGATTCGTAATCAGCGACCCCAAAAAGCCTTAAGTATACAATTTTATCAAAATCAGGGTGAGACAGCCAATTGCTTCTTATTTCTGCGTCGCTTTTTGAAATCGCGCGCCGTCGATAATGTAGAGTGCTTATAGTAGTTCAATTCAGTTGCTAACAGATGGGCGTTATTACTGTACCAGCTTAGAAGTGACAGCATCATTTACAAAAACAGACTTTTGGATGTATTTTTTTAAAGAGTTATTTGTCTGATTTTCGTTAATTGAGGTGTATGAATAAAATTCAGGTAAGTGTTTTTTAATGCAGAATTTAGTGCTGAAGACGATGCTGTAAATGGAATCGCTATATTTTTAATATTACTGGTCCTGTGAATGTTTTTTAAAAAAAGTACTCGTGGGGTTAGACGGCCAACGAAAACATGGGGCGAGGCAGCCAACAATAAATTTTTTGTTCTTTTGTGTTTCAGTATTATGGTGCGCACTTATGTTCGAAAAACTGAAAAATTAAATGAAACGGGAATGTCGGCGGCACTCGATGCCGTGAAAAAAGGCAATAGTATTAACAGCGCAGCTATGAAATTTGGCGTTTCACGAGGAGCTTTACGCTGTCGATTAAAGAGTAAAACTCCTGAAAACCCTCATGCATATAAACATGTAAACTAATGATGCCTTCTTTTGTTTTCTCGAGTGTTTTTTCTTATTACTTAGATATTTTTGCTTTTATTTCTAGATTTTCAATGCAGAACAAGAAGCATCGCTGAAAAGATATTTATTGCGCTCAGTGGCAATGTATCACGGTTTGTCTTATCCTGCGGTTCGTAAACTTGCTTACGAGTTTTCAGTAACTTTAACAAAGAAAAAATTGATTAAATCTGTTCCGAAATCATGGAAAAAATCAAAGTGCGCTACCACGGATTGGCTTAATGGATTTATGCTTCGTGATCCAGATCTTTCACTGCGGAAACCAATGGCAACTAGTCTCGGCAGGGCGACTGCATTTAATCGTCATAATGTCAAGGAATTTTTCGAAAAATTGAAAGACGTCATTCAGCGATTTAAAATACAACCGCAAAACATTTGGAATGTTGACGAGTCAGCGCTAACCACAGTACAAAAACCTGTTCCTGTCGTAGCTCCACGTGGTGCAAGAAGTGTAGGTGGCATTTCATCAGGCGAAAGAGGAACTCTAGTGACGCTCACTCTCGCATGTTCAGCACGTGGCATGGTAGCACCACCTTTTTACGTTTTTCCACGGGCGAAATTTCAAGAACATTTTTTGTCAGGCTTAGACGCAGATGGTGCGGCAAATCCATCCGGTTGGATGAAAAGCGAACAATTTTTTAAATTCTTGAATCACTTTGTCAAGTACGCACATCCGACGAAAAAAGTACCAGTTTTACTATTATTGGACAATCACAAATCGCATCTGTCGATTTCCAATTTAGATTTTTGTAAAGAAAATGGAATTGTCGTCCTTTCTTTTCCACCACACACTACGAATAAACTGCAGCCACTTGACAGATCCGTGTTTGGTCCCATTAAGCACTACTTTCATGCCGCGTGCGACACTTGGATGCGATTGCCGCAAAATGCTGGAAAGACTATCACGATCTATGACATCCCACGGATTGCTGCGAAACCTATCGAATCGGGTGCGTCTGTTTCCAACATTAAAAGTGGCTTCGCCGTGTCTGGAATTTGGCCATTGAACGAAAATGTGTTCACGGACATCGATTTCTTACCATCGGATATAACTGATCGCGAAAACACTGTTAATCGGGCATCCACTTCTGCGGATTCTGACACGGAGCAAGAATGGATGTCAGCTGTTTACGATGTCAATGAAACAGTTGATTTGGATAAAACTCTAAAAGAAATTCATCCGTACATAAAGGCTTCACCGCGCAAACAGACAAAACGTGGCCGCAAACGTAAATCTGCGATTTTAACCGATTCACAAGAAATGGCACCATTGCGCGCAGAGCAGCAAGCCCTCAGTGAGAAAAAAGCAAAGAAAGCAGCTTCCAAAGCTGCTGCTGTAACAAGAAAAATATTAGCAGAACAAACCAAAAAAGCAAAAGTTGATAAGCAACTTAAGCAAGCGGCAAAAAGTTCAGGTTTGGATATTGAAAGTGCTAAAAAGAAAAGTGTTGGCCGCGGCCGTCCCAAAAAACAATAAGTAGATAGATTCTATTAGTTTTTCTAAATGTTTTTTCTTTTTTACTACTTCAATAAGTTTTAAAGTTCATATTTAATTTTATGAACTATTTTATTTGAAAATAAAAAATGTATATTTTCTTTAAATTTTAAATTAAATTTAATTAATGTTGTTTTGTTATAATATTATTGAAATGTAAATTTTTAAAGTTTACTAACAAAATAAAAGTAAATTATGAACAACTACTTTGTTAAACTTTATTAATTTAAACTTTAAGTTATGTTTATTTATTATTAAAGCAGTTGGCTGTCTCACCCCACATTTTTCAAATAAGCCAAAAACGTGGTCTTTTGGGAAAACATTCGTAGAAATTTTTAAGTGCAACCTACCTCAAAATGTTCTATAGCGATTTTTTAGTTAAGAAGGCAGGCTTTCTAACGCGATATAATTATAACATTCGAATATTTACCAGCACAAATTTTTCACAATTTACAAAGTACCCTAGGTGTGTTTCTAAAAAGTTTTTAGCACGTGCCATTCGATTATAGAGGCTGGAGATAACTTTTTCTTAAAAATAGATGCTTTTGTTAAACTTTGCAATAAAAAAATAAATATAAACAAATTGAAATTTGAAATTCGGCCTCGACAAATCTCTTTCAAATTTAAGAATCTTTCATTTAAAACAAAGTTCAGTGAAATCAATTCAAAAATGAAGGCTCTAGACTATTATGAACAGTAAATTGCAGTTTAGTCCCACTGTGCAGCGGCTCAGATTATGGGCATCAGCTACCTATGTTACAGGCAACTCGTACACATTTCACATGGGTTAGGTATTTGCGTACAGTGCATGCGCTGTTAATGGGCCGAAGTTGGATACCAGCTACACACAATGCATAGACAGCAGCGCGTGGCTACACCGAAAAAAATTTTGATGGTATTATTAACTATGAACCTATAGCTAATCTTAACCTAGTAAAAGTAATAAGGATTCCTAATCATTGTGGTTAGGACTCTTGGTTGATTCAACAAATCCAAGCCTTGTAAAAACTTCTGTAAATCCTGGTCAAATTGGCTAGGATATTTAGTAATTTTGCCTATTTCCATAATGCGTATGCGTCTGCTTCTGTTTTAACAGTATTTACCTGTAATGCTTTCGTGTGAATTATCGTGGTTTCGTAAAACGATTGTTTATTACATTTCGTGTCTACTTTTTGTACATAAAATGGGGTTTTCACATAATCAAAATTGCTGTTTTCTCGTAACTATTTAATTATATTAGTGAATTATTTCAGACTTTTTGGTGAAGTTTCAATATAAATCGTCGAAATTTTTACGCACGTGGTAACAACATTTTTACTGTTTTAAACGCGCAGTACTAAGTTTCCTTATCAAAAATTAAATTCTAGTAAGAATCTTGTAAGGAAAAATGTAGGGAACCGGTTGGGCCCCGGGATTTTCTGTGACGCTCGGATCTTGTCAGAAATGTCTTACAAGGAAATGTCGCGAGGAGCCTTATATGAGAACTTTACAAGGACCTTTCTAAAAATTTAATTTTTCTCTCTTTGTCAGAAATGTCTTACAAGGAAATGTCGCGAGGACCCTTATATGAGAACTTTACAAGGACCTTTCTAAAAATTTAATTTTTCTTTCTTTGTCAGAAATGTCTTACAAGGAAATGTCGCGAGGACCCTTATATGAGAACTTTACAAGGACCTTTCTAAAAATTTAATTTTTCTCTCTTTGTTTTTAATTATCATTTTAGGTTATTTATAACCGATTGACAAAAGAAAATAATAAAAATAAAAAAGAAATACAGAAAAAATACTATTATCATCATTTTTAAATAAAGAACATAAATTAAGTGTGAAAATAATTATAACTAAATAAAAATAAAGTTACAAAAATAGAAGAATTAAAATTTCATAATCAAAAATATATTACTTTCTTGGACTTTAAATAACTATTTTATACAGTTTTTTATTTAGCAACAATTATTGAATTTAAAACGTTAAATATTTATCAAATAAATTTAAACTACTAATTAATAAACACTTACTCAAGTTCTGAAGTTCACAAATACAATAATTAGGGTAGTGGCACCAATGAAAGAACATTTAAGGAAATGTATACTTTCAATATTTTTTATTTTTAACTGACATTCATGAATTTCGTTTTAAACATAATGCAATGAATAGCAAAATTTCTAAAGAATTTGAAGCTTATGATACAAATTTTATAAATATAACATAAAATATCAAATTTTAATCAAATATTGAAAAATGTTTATTTTACCAGTGAAAGAAATACAGTGTCTAAAAATAACAAAAATTATATGAAAAACGTTAAAAATATTCTGAAACAATTTTGCAACTTACTATTATTCATATTTTCCTGATTACACAGTCAGAAATATTATTTAATTGCACCTGAAACTTGTAACCTTTTTTCTGTTTATGCTTTGTTCATTTGTCATGTTCATAACCCACCAAAATATTAAAAAATTATTTTCAGAAATAACTTGCATATTGAATCTATTTTTTTATCGTAAACTATATTTTGAAAAAATAAGGAACTAAAAAATATTTTTTTATAGTGCTGAAAGCTATAATTTGTGAAATATCGTGATAAATAATAAATTTGTTCTTTTACTGGTGTCAATTCTTTCACTGGTGCAACTACCCTAGATAGATAATTGGAAAAATTAATAATTTATTCATAAGGTTAAGTAACAATTTCTTGAAAGTTATGAGTGATGGAAAAAAGAAATAAAATAATATACATAAAATATAAATTAAATTAATTGAAGAAATGGAATCACGAATAATTCTTCTGGATCATCTTTAGTTATTAATTGTAATTATTGTAATAATTAATATTGTATAATAAAATTGTAATCATTGTAATAATTTTAATTTTTTTTTAGATTTAATTTTTAATTGTAATAATTATAATAGTATTTTTATAATATTGTAATTATTAATTGTAATAATTAATTGTTCAATTAAATTTGTTATTAAAATATTACATAAATAAATCATTATTGTTTTTAAAAATGTTGTAATTATTCTTTTTAATATTTGAAAATTTATTAATTATTTAAAAATTTTTTTTTCTTTTATCAAACTTTATGAGCAAACGAAATTTGAATAAACAGTTTATATAAATATTTGAATTATGTATTATTTTCTAAAAAACAGGTTATTTTTTGTATTTTTACTTTTAGAGTAATATATTTAAAAAATACGCAGATTATTTATAAATAATAATACAATTTCCAATAATAAATAAATGATATTATATATTTAAAAGCAAATAACCTTAATTAAATACTAATAGTACTAAAATTTAACAACCGAGTGATAAATTTGTTTACATTTACAAATAACCTTAAATTATTAAACAGAAAAAAAATCAGTTTTCTTGTGAGGTTCTCGTAGGGTCCTCGCGACATTTCTTTGTGAAGTTGAGTCTCCAATGTGAGAGAGGTGCGCATCGATGTTCATAGCTATAGATATACCACAGCATACTTTAGTATACCTATAGCTATGAACATCGATGCGCACCTCTCTCACATTGGAGACTCAACTTGAGACATTTCTGACAAGATCCGAGCGTCACAGAAAATCCCGGGGCCCTACCAGTTCCCTACATTTTTCCTTATTAGACTCAAATAGGTAAAAGGGAAATTATACAAGGCCCCTATGAGAATCCTGCTGCAATTTCTACATGGGGTGTGTTTGAAAATTTACCATTACAATAATTTGTGTATTAAAATTAATTTTCATTTAAATGGCATAAATGATTAAAAATTAATAGTTAATAGTTTTTGACAAGTAGATAGAATTGAGTACTTGAAAGACATAAAACATCATCTGATTAAGTATTGTATTTTGACTCGAAAATCTAGTGTCTATTAAAAAGTGAAAATACCAAGTGCGTGTTTAGTGTAGTGGTTATCGTTCCGGGTTTCAAAGTGCGTATTCGTTAGGTTCAGGTGTTCACGTCCCCTCAGCGTCAAATATTTATTTCATAAGTTTAAATTAATTCTAAGGTATATAAATAGAAAGTCAATATGTTCAAACACAGTAATTAATTTTTTTATTTTAATTAGTTTTTCTCTTTTATTTGATAATAAGAATTTGATTAGCAATTTCAAATAATTATGATACATACACAGTGTAAATCTAATATTATTCTCCTAGTCAATTTGACTAATAAACAATAATTTCTGCGTTGAATTAAGTAAATGTAGGTACCTATAGATATTAAAATAAAACTATAGAAACTGAAAATTGATTGTTCAAATATTGCTATATTTTGTCGTTTAAAAATTATGTTTATGAAATAAAAGAATATTTTATGATACCTGTAATTTAGAGCTGTGCAAAATTCGAACCGAACCGAGTTTTGTTCGGTTTTTGGGCGCCGAAATGTCAAATGTCGAATATTCGACATTTTAGCGTACCAAAACCGAACAAAACTTGGTTCGGTTCGAATTTTGTAGTAACTCGAATGTCGAATATTCGACATTCGAACTGGGATAGTTCGAATGTCGGTTTTTCGACATTCGAACAAGGCGAAAAAATTCGAACAGTTCGGTTCGAATTATTTTGCACAGCTCTACTGTAATTAAAATATTGAAAAAAATTATTTGTTAATTAATTAATTAATTAAACATTTTTAATAAACAAATAAATAATAGACTTCCTAGGTCGAAAGTCAAGTATTACTTGTTTCCTTCCAGTAGCTGTAGAGTCAAGAGCGAGTTTTACTTGCAAAGACAATCTGGCCAGTCACTGATTCGCAGAATTATTTAAGATTCCACTTAGGAAAACTGGTCCACCACTGATCAGAAAAACTTGCCGAATCCTATTAAAAGAATTATTCTAGATTTTTCCAAATCTCTAGCTAGAAAATCTTGACACTATAAAAAAAAGAAACTGCGGGCACAGAAACTGACCAGATACTAAGGAAAAAACAAAGCAGCAGTCCTATAAAAATACACTCTTAGTCAATTATTT